CAAAAAATCCAGGTGTCTATCAACAGGAGATTGGACAAGAAAACTGAAATATGCCTATTTAATGCAATATATAATTTAATAAAAACAATATACTGATATAGAGAACAGTATGGATGAACTCACTATCATTATAATGAGAAGCCAGATGCATACTGTAATTGCAATCAGGCTAATTTCAAAGTAAGTAAAACTAATTTGTGATCAGAGAAACTAGAACATGTTCTTTATGAGAATTTGCTTAACTAGAAACAAGCAGTAATTCTAACTCCTGAGGTAGTAGTTACTAAAAAAAAAAAACACCTCACTGAATTGTACAAATTAAGGTCTGTATTCAAGTCTGCATTTCTAGGTATATTCTAGGATGTAAAAACCTGGATGACAGGTCCAAGGCCAGACCAAGCAACAAGATCAAAAGACTATTCTAATGCACTGCCTGGGCATAGTGGCACGCACCTGTCATCTGAGCTATGCTGAGATGTACAATTAGGATGATTGCAGTCTGTACAATTAGGATGATTGCAGTCTGGGCTAGCCTAGACATAATGTGAGACCTTGAAAATAACCAACACAAAAGAGGCTGGAGGAATGGCTCAACTGATAGAAGGCCTTCCTAGAACGTGCAATGCCCTGACTTCAAACTCTAGTACCATTCTCCAACTCAAATAACAGGTCTATCCACTTAATTAATGTCAATTTTACATATATTAAAACGTAAAATATTTAAGACATAATTTCTGATATACACGACATAATAGTCTTCTAAATACTAGAATATCTACCTATTAAGTATATGAAAAAAGGTTAAGGAATAATAAAAGTATGTGTATTATGTGCTACTTGTGCACACACAACTCTTGGAATAGAGACAAGTGTTGAGTGTGTGTGTGCACACACGTGCATACAGGTGCATGAGAGAAAGAAAGAGGACAAACCAGAAAGCAACAACACTAGGAAAGACTGAGTTGGTACCCGAGGAGGAGATAATACAGAAGGTACAGAAGTTAAATTACTAACAATGAATACTCTTTTGTAAATTTCGGGGTTTAAAATGCCCATTTTGACTTTAAAGTACATTTAAAAATGCTTCTGGGTGAAGCATGGTGGTTTACACCTGTAATCCCAGCTTCTTGGGAAGTGAAGATTAGGAGGACTATAGTTGGATGCCAATCCCAGGAAAAGTTACTAAGGCTTCATTTCAATCAACAGCTGTATATGATAGGTCATATTTGTTATAAAACTACATAGAAAACAGAAATAGGAGAATAACAATTTAGATCAGCCTGGGAAGAATCTGAATAGTGAAACTATTTCAAAAATGCCTAAAACCATCCAGGTTCATGCCTATAATCCTAGCTACTCAGGAGGCTGAGGTTAAAGTGGTAGGGTGCAAGCCTTGAGCAAAAGAAGCTCAAAACAAACAAAAACCCCTAAAACTAAAAGGGTTAGGATGTGGCTAAAATGGTAGCATGCCTATGTTACAACTGCAAGTCTGAGTTCAACCCTCTGCACCATTACCAAAATTAGATCATTGATAGATATATAAAAAAGAAAAGGGGACTTGGAAGGTGTCTCAGTGGTAGAGGGCTTGCCTTGCATGTATGAGGTCCTGGGTTCAATTCCTCAGCACCACATATGCAGGAAAAGCTGGAAGTGGCACTATGGCTCAAGTGGTAGAGTGCTAGTCTTGCGCTGAAGAACTTAAGGGCAGGGAACAGGGACCAGGGCCAGAGTTCAGGCCCCACGACCAGCAAAAAAAAAAAAAAAAAAAAAGGAAGGAGGGGAAAGGGAAGGACAAGTAAGGAGGGGAAAAGGAAGGATAAGCAAGCAAGGACTTCAAGCCTCATTTTAAAATAGCTAATAAAGGGGCTGGGAAGGTGGCTCAGTGGTAGAGCGCTTGCCTTGCATGCCTGAGGCCCTGGGTTCGATTCCTCAGCACCACATAAGCAAAAAGAAAAAAGCCAGAAGTGGCATTGTGGCTCAAGTGGTAGAGCTCTAGCCTTGAGCTGAAGAGCTGAGGGACAGCACCCAGGCCCAGAGTTCAGGCTCCACAAGCGGACCCCCTCTCTCCCCCCAAAATAAAATAAAATAGCTAATAAAGAAAGTCTGGTAAGTCTGGTAGGCTCTTGCATGTAATTACCAGCTTTTGAGGGGGCAGAGATCAGGTAGACTACAGTTCAAAGGGCAGTCTTGGCAACAGGTTACCAAGAACCCATCTCAAAAACTAAGCTGGTAGTGGTAGTGTATGTCTATAATGTTAGCTGTGCAGGAGGCAAAGCCTGAAAGATCATGGTTGAGGTCTGCCTGAACAAAAATGTAGGACCCTATCTGAAAAAAAGGAAAAAAAAAGTCAGGGGATATGGTTTAAATGACAAAGCACTTGGCCTAGCAGGCACAAGACTCTGAGTTCAAACCCCAGTACTGTCAAAATGTAAACAATAAAAAATAACACAAAGCACATTTGGCAAATGTTGGTAGCAATGGAATGAGAGTTTCAACAGTTAGACAACCTCATAGTTCCTCAAACTTTGAATGCTTATAATGTGTTCATAATGAATTGTTTTAGAAGATACAAAACAGAGCAAATCTTTCATTACCAAAACCAGATGAAAATAAATGATTACTTATGTTAAAACATTTATTAGGGGAATTAGCAAATGGAAAATAAACTACAACACATAAAATATGGATAAAATTATGCCAAATATCCAATTGAGGGAAAATGTGGGAGAGCACCAGTGATGCTAGTTAAACTTATTTCATTAAGCATCATAAGTAATCAAAATTTCATACAAGCGTGGTGGAAAATCTGCATGGGATATAGTCTTCTAAGAGGAAGAAAATATTAAACATAGACACAAACAATCTAACAAGCAGTAGAAAACACTGTAGAAAAAGTGAAAAAAAATTCTAGGTATCTTAGCTTCTACTCCATACCAGTAACAAAGGTGCATTCAGATGATTTGTTTACATGACTAGTTCATTTAAACATTGATAGCAATCACATAGCTTTTTAGCCTATTAAGCAAAGAAAAGAAAAAAGATCGTCCAAAGAATTTTACTACAACAGAAAATTTGGTATCAAATCATGAAAAGGAATAACAAAAAGAAAATCACACATTTATTTAACTTAGTCAATATTCTTTCAAATATTCCAAATAAAAATAAGGACCTATAATTTAATTAAAATTTAATTTAAATTAATTTGTAAATAAAATTATTAATCACATTAATTTTACTTTAAATAATAAATTGTCTTCAGAATCAAATAGAATCTGTTCACTCAAAAAAGGTTTCAATAGAAAAGAAATGATTTCATAGCACAAATGTGTTAAGCAATAGTACTAGTGGTTGTGCAAAAAATATTGATCGCATGTACCACCTGATTTTGATTAAAATTCCTTAGAAAAATATAAAAAGTCAAAGACCTTCCTAACTTAACAAAGTAAACTCATACTCAAAATCACTGTACTGATGAATAAGATCATCCAAATCAAAATCACTTACCTACTGGGACTAAGACACGAAACCACCCTCAGCAGAATTGTACTCAGCAAAATACAACTATAAACTGATAAATAAATAAATTCAGTTTCCTCATCTAGGCAAATAGCTGTCACTGATAGTATCTAACCTAGATAGTTGGTTCACTGATACAATAATGTTATTATCAAGAATTACATCATGCTCTTCCAACAATCTTATAATGATTTTTTTCTATTCCTAATCAGTTCTCTGCCTTAAACTGCAACAGCCCAGACCCAAAGGCACTTTCCTCTAATCTGTGAAACACTGTCAAACCCTGTCAAGGTGGTGTTTTCCCTTGCTGCAGTAAATTTAATAAACTCAGCTTTGCTCATTCATAGCACTTTTGGGTGGTCTTTAGAGAAGCAGACCAGCAAAAAAATGTGCATTGCAACCCAAGAAGCATTCCATTAAAGGCCCATTTAAATCAAGGGTGGGTGATATGTCAACGTTGTTTAAGTGCTCTGAAAGGACCAGTATGTGGACTTTATCAACTTAACCAAAATCATGTATTGGAAGAAGAGAATTAAAGCTATCAATTTTTTGCAAATAATTCTGTCCACATTTTGAAAAAAATTATGAAAAGTATTGAGAGGTGACCACTTGCCCCTCAAAAAAACAAAACTTCCAGGCTCAGAAAAAATGAACAAAGTAAAAGAAAAATCTCATCACTATTGAAGACAATATTACTGAAAACCAATTTCCCCAAATTAATTTATTAAGTCTGATGAAATTGCAGTCTAAACTGTAATTTCGTCCAGTAAGAAGACACATGAGACAGGAGGCAGAAGAAGAGACACACAGATCCACAGAACAAAAATGGAGCCAGCCAGATGAGAATACAGCATAGGCGCAAGATGGCATTACAGATAAATGGGCAATTATTGGCAAATAATCGCAAGTAATGGCAAATAACTTGGCAATTTAAGAGTTCAAAACAAAAAAAGTTCTCATGGTATAAGAATTTGACTGAAAAAAAAAAAAACCCCACAAAGAATTAGAAGTTAACACAGGTGAAGAGTTTTATGGACTTGGTATAATACCTTTCCAAAATGACATGAAACCAGAAGCTATAAAGCGAACATGGTTATATACTTGGACATATAACAATTATACACATTCCTAGAATAAAAACAAAGTTTAAAAGTGCATAAAAATATCTGTAATGCTTGACACTCTGAAAGCTTATTCCACCAATAGTAAATGTGTTCATTGAAATCTGAGACGAAAATCAACACCCCAGAATTGGACATAAAGAAGAAATTAAAAATACAGATGACTAATAAACACATGAAAAACAATGATCAAACTCAAAAAAAGAAATACAATTTAAGACAATAGTTGGCCTATCACATTTGCAAAATTTTAAGTACGTATAAAATTCATTATTTGCATGGATATGGGAAAGTTGGCAATCTCATTCATTGCCAGTGAGAATAAAATTGTTAACCACATTTTTCAAATAAATCTTTCCATAATTTTCAAAATCTTAAATGTTCATATCTTTAATTCCAGTAATTCAGTTGCTAGGTAAACTTAATATCATAGACAAATGCAAAATTGTTGATAATAGAAGGAGGTTCATTGCACAGAAATTTGGTACTAACATAAATAACCATGAATGAGAAATCCATAAAACATTTAATTATATTTTATCTACACAATAGTCATGCAGTCATTCAACAAATGACACAGATGTATATGTATTACTGAAATAGAAAAAAAACCACTGAAAAGACTTAAATGGAAGAGGTAATTGGCAGAAGAATGTGTTACAATATGGGTTCACTTCTAAATACCCACTCCAGAATAGCTTGCATGTCCATTTGCACACTAAAAAAAAAATGAATATAGGAAAACTGACAATTGAGTTGCAGAGAGGAGGGCCCCTAGCTTATTCTATTATTTGTTCTTTGAATTTTTGAGAAAAATGATGCAGTTTCTTTTGAATATATCAGCTTTAAAAATTTATCATGTGGCAAAGAAAAATGGTAAATATATATTTATAGGAGCACTGAGCACTTCCACCATTTTGAGCTTCTTGTGCAATTTATTTGAGGCTCCTGTGATTGAGTCAAGCGGCAGCAAGGGAAACAGTCACCATGCCCAAATTAAAGTCTCAACGGTGATATCCCAATATGAGCATTTCTCAGTTAAGCATTTCTTATCTGCAGGAGGAATCCGCTGCCACCCAGGGAGAGAGGTGTCACCGGGCATAAAGAAGACTGTAGAGTTGTTTTGATGAAGCTGGTATATAAGTAATGGCATCAACTGTAGCAAATCCACTCAATGTGGTCACCCTACAAGGACACAGGGAAAATTAGCTTAGGTGAGAAACATGTTCTTTTCATTCTTTTCTTTCCTTTTTTTCTTTTTGGCTTGAACTCAAGACCTCACTCTCACTCAGTTTTCTTGCTTCCAAGTGAAGCTTTACCAGTTGAGCCATGCCTTACTTGTCCCTTACTTCCTCATTTTGAAACGATAGCTTGGTATGCATATATATATATATATATATATATATATATATATATATATATATATATATATACTGCTGGATCAGCAAACTTCTTCATGGTCTCTTGTACATTTCCAAAATGGAATAAATTACCTGATTCACACAGAAAATTATGCCTGTTACTTTTTGTAAAAAGTGTTTTACCTTTCATTGCTTAGCAGGACAAGTTATTCAGAAAATCAATTAAAATATACTCATGTTTATTTGCAACAAAAATTTATTGGGAACTTATCAGTGGCAGGTAATTGACAAGGTATCTATGTCACCAAAAAAAGTAAAGAAAAAATACCTGACTAGGGCTAGATGCTGATAACTCATGCCTGTAAATCCTACCTATTCAGGAGGGTGAGATCTGAGGATCGTGGTTCAAAGGCAGCCCTAGCACGAAGGTCTGTGAGACTCTCCAATTAGCCACCAAAAAATTGGAAGTAGCACTATGGTTCAAAGTGGTAGAACACTAGCCTTGAGCAAAAAAAGCTCAGGGACAATGTCCAGGACCCAAGTTCAAGCTCCACAACTGACAAAGAAAAATTACTGACTAGAATAAATTAAATAAAAGTACTTATATGAAATTACATGTAATTGATGAATTAATAATATATAAAGAGCTCAGCTATAATGGACTGGTTAGAGTTAGATTTTCATTGAGGGCAGAGTTTGTTAAGGAAAACTCCTCAATTCAAGAACTATTATGACCACAGCTCTGTACCTCCCCATTTTTATATCCACATTTATCTGATTCTTGGTGCTTTTTAATGCTGCCTGGCTACAACTAAGGATAAACTTAAGGAGAAGATCTATCAATTTATATCCCCCATCCTAGGACTCTTATAAACATGCAGCCCCTACCCACATAGACATTATACCTGTCGAAGACATCCATGTGACCATATATAGGAATGAAGATTTGGGAAGTAAACTGTCAACTAATTTCTTAGAATTGATAGTTGAGATTAAAGCAAGGGCAGTAACAACTTCTCTACCCTGTTGGGCTCTATCATCGCCTGACAGAAAAAAAAGAAAGGAAAAAATGAACATTTTAAGAAGAAATACATACATATATGCAGATGCATCTATAAACATGTATCACATACATACACACATAATGAAACAATAATGTATTTATTCTGTGTTGTGTGGCAACTAGATAGGAATGGTGAATGTTGGTTAAGTCTTCTCTGTGTCATGTGGGCAAACATGCACATCTTTGCACATCTATGCTAGCAAGATAAATGTACTACTAAAACTAAATATTATAAAATAAAAAATAATGTCACAATTGTATATAGCATGATAAAAATGTTGTCTATTACTTCCCAGTAAAGCCTAAGTAGGGCTCCTACCAACTCTATTGGAAAACTAAACTTATTTCTAAGTCATCAATTTCCATAAGGCCATCTTTACAGAATAATGTATGTTGTAGTCTGTGAGAAAAATAAGACACCAACATCTATTGTTATATTCCCCTAACCAATCCTTTCCCTCACATAATGCTCTAACAAAGCCAAGAGGGCAATGGAATTAAGCAACATAGGCCAATACAGGAATGTGCAGATACAGTGAACCCTTTACTAATACAAGGGGAACTGAGCAAGCTGGCATTATCTGAGGGAATCTGCCTTGTGCATCCATGTACATGAAAGTCAGCATCTCTTTGCTGACTTCTCAGACAAAGACAAATCAAGCCAAGCTAATTATGTCACTGTGTAAGTACTTTGATCTGTAAAACCCCACTCCTTGTGGCAAGTAGTAGGAGCATCGTGGAAAGGATAAGGCTTAGTGGTGGGCAAGGCATCATGAGAGATGAGGAAGCCACCTGTCCAACAGATGCTGCATGCAAGGTATTCTAGGCAGCCACAAATTATAATTTGGAAACACTTCTATTTTCTTTGTTTTTAATTTAGGATCTTTAAGATAGATTGCATCCCTTCAATGATTAGCAACTACACAGATAGAAATAAAGATTGTATTACTTACTAAGGTACATGGCATGCTTGGGGACCACACAGAGATCAGAAGGACAAAAAAAAAAAAGTGAGAAGAAAGGAGGCCAAGAGTAACTGAAGGAGGGAGGAAGGTTGAAGTAGAATAAGGTTGTTATAGAAATGGCTTACTTTTGGGGAATTAGAATTGGTAGGGGTTAAAAACAAGCAGGAACAGGCTCCATGGAGTTATAAACGTGGAAGCATATGTGATGTATATGTGTGTATCCATGTGTATGTATGTATATACACATGTATGTGTTGACATCTATAAGGGAACTATCAGAATTGACCACATTGAGGAACTAGAAGGTGATCTAGAAGTAGAAACTGTCATGAATGTCCAAATACTTTTTCTGGTATGAGAATTCTTCACAAGAAATTCTTCACTACACTCTTCAATACTCACAGCCAAGACACAACTCAGACACAACTGCTGAGACCTCAAGGACAATCTTAAGATACAAACCTCATTTTGGCCCAGTATCATCTTGGTTCCTAAAAGAGAAGGAATCATTCAAATATACTTGATGCACAATGCTTTTATGGTATAAGCTAGGTTTAGAAATGTCAAGTATTTTAGAATGTAAAAGTATAAAATTATGGAAGCCAACTATACATACATACACACACACACACACACACACACACACACACACATATGGTTAGATAGATAGATACTATTATTATGATTTTTTTGCTAGTCTTCTCTTTGCTATTCTTGGGGCTTAAACTCAGGGCCTGGGCCTTTTTGTGCAAGGCTAGTGCCACTTGAGCAGTCAACACATCTGGCTTTTTCAGCGTAGTTTATTGGAGATAAGAGTCTCACAGACTTTTCTGTCTGGGCTGACTTTCAACAGTGATCCTCAGATCTCAAGCCTCCTGAGTAGCTAGGATTACAGGCGTGAGACACCAGTGCCCAGTTTCTACAATATTTTTAATGTAAGAGGCAAACTGGAGGTGTGGCTCAAGCGGTACAGCCCCTGCCTAATAAGCCTGGAGCCCTGACTTCAATCCCCACTACATGGGAAAAAAGTGAGACACTTAATGTGAGAAACTACCCAAAATAAATGACTGAGTTCCTTACAAAAATCTCAACAATCTATAAGCTGTGAGATTAAATTCAATGACACTATGTTACTGTAGTACCTTCTAGAAATTGACAAGGATGAGCAGAGATACCAATAAAAACCAAAATTTCAATGTTGTGATACTGAGTTCTAGGTGAAATTAGAACTTTGTTTCCATCCATAGTTCTTCACTGAAAACCAATAATATTCTTAAAATAACCTATGGGATTAGTAATGATGCCTCCTCTTTCATTCTCAATTTTGGTAATTCATATGAGTATAAAGTTTTATCAATTGCATTCCTCTTGGCACAAAACCCAACTTGTGAGGATTTTCTTCTTTCTGTATTTCCTTCTTTTTTCTTCCCCCTCCCCCATTGCTATATGTTACTAGGGTCCATGAGACCCTTATCTCCAATTAACCAACAAAAAACTAGAAGCGGCACTGTGGCTCAAAGTGGTAGAGTGCTAGTCTTGAGCAAAAGAGCTCATGACCGTGAGCAGGCCCTGAGTTCAAGTGCTATGACAAACAACAACAAAAAAAGAAAAAAAGAAAGAAAGAAAAAAAAAGGAAAGAAAAAATCTCAAGGTCAGCACCCAGATCCATGATTCAAGCTCTAGGAACAGTAAATAAAATAAAATAAAAAATAAAAAAGTAAATGGTGTAATAATAATAGTAAATGGCGTAATAGGAAGAATTCTGATGTCACTTGTTACAAAATAGAGCTCAGGCAGAAAAGTTGAATAATAACTGGCCAATTAAATGTTTACTATTAAGAATTTACAGAAAAACAAACCTGGTACATGTGACTCATGCCTGTAATTCTAGGCACTCAGGAGGCTAAGATTTGGGGATTGAGGCTCAAGCCAGATCAGCAGACAAAATTGAGAGACTCACAGCTCCAATTAACTAAGGAAAGTTGGCGTGAAGATGTGGATCAAAAGATAGACTACCAGTCTTGAATGAAAAAGCTGAGCAAGAACTTGATTTCCTGAGTTCAAGGCCCAGTACTGGCACATACAAAAAAAAAGTTTAGAAGAAAACATAATGATGCATTTGACAAACTACATGACAGTTCACTCATTGCTCTGAACAGAGGGGCATATGGAAGAGGATTTTTTTTCTTTTTGCCAGTCATAGGGCTTGAACTCTGGGCCTGGGTGCTGTCCCTAAGCTCTTCAGCAAAAGGCAAGTGCTCTACTACTTGAGCCACTTTGGTTTTCTGGTGGTTAACTGGAAATAAGAGTCTCATAGACTTTCCTACCAGGGCTGGCTTTGAACCATGATCCTCAGATCTCAGCATTCTAAGGATTACAGGTGTAAGCCACTGACGCCTGGCCTTCTTTTTTTTTGGTTGGTTGTAGGGCTTGAACTCTGGGCTTGGGTGCTGTCCCTCAGCTCTTCAGCTCAAGGCGAGTGCTCTACCACTTGAGCTACAGTGCCACTTCTGGTTTTCTGGTGGTTTATTGGAGATAGGAGTCTCACGGTCTTTCCTGCTCGGGCTGGCTTTGAGCTGTGATCCGTAGATCTCAGTGTCCTGAGTAGCTAGGATTACAGGCGTGAGCCACCAGCACCCGGCTTTTGGTCTTCTCTTTTATTCTTTTGGTTGGGGTTTGAACTCATGGCTCACACTTAAATTCATGGCTGAGCCTACTTGTTCAGCTGGTGCTCTATCACTGGAGCCATGCCTGTAGGCCAGCTTTTTGCTTCTTTTTTTTTTTTTTTTTTTTTTTTTTTTTTTATTGCAACCCTACATTTTTATTTTTATTTAAATATTTGTTTTTTTGCCGGTCATGGGGCATGTACTTTGGGCCTGGGTGCTGTCCCTGAGTTCTTCAGCTCAAGGCTAGTGCTCTACCATTTGAGCCAGTGCCACCTCCGGCTTTTTCTGCTTATGTGGTGCTGAGGAATTGAACCCAGGACCTCATGCATGCAAGGCAAGCACTCTACCACTGAGCCACCTTCCCAGCCCAACCCTACATTTTTTTTTTTTTTTTTTTTTTTTTTTTTTTTTTATTGTAAAGCTACTATACAGAGGGTCACAGTTACATGAGTGAGGTTATGAGTACACTTCCTCTTGAACATTGTTACCCCCTCCATTGTTTTCCCCCTACCATCCCCTCCCTCCCTCCCTTCCCCGAGGTTCTTTTTTTTTTTTTTTTTGATTGTGATTAAATGATTACATAATTTCAAAGTCACAAGTTCATTCTAACTTCCCTGGAGCAAATTGTCTACCACAGTCTGTAATATATAACAGTGTTCACATGTTATATACCATATTTGTGATCAGCAGCATGAGGATATTTAGTAGTGGTTCAACCAGATGAGCGGGAGTTCTTTGTTTCTTAAGTCCTGTTAGTTTTGTCGTATCACTAACCTTTTGGATTTAGCATCCACTTATGAGGGAGACCATGTACCGTTTGTCTCTTCGTTCTTGGCTTACCTCGCTCAACATGATTCCTTCTAGCTCCATCCATTTCCCTGCAAATGCCATTATTTTGTCATTTCTAATGGCTGCATAATATTCCATTGTGTATAGATACCACAATTTTTGGATCCATTCATCTGTGGTGGGGCACCTAGGTTGTTTCCATATCCTAGCTATTGCGAACAGTGCTGCAATAAACATGGAGGTGCACGTGTCCTTGTATATTGGTTCCTGTTGTTCAGGGTAGATGCCTAGAAGTGGTATGACTGGGTCGTAAGGGAGGTCAATCTTTAGCTTTCTAAGGACCCTCCAGACTGCTTTCCAAAGTGGTTGTATAAGTGTACATTCCCACCAGCAGTGTAATAGGGTTCCTCTTTCTCCACATCCCCTCCAGCATTTGTCGTTGGTTGATTTGTGGATGTGGGACATTCTGACTGGGGTAAGGTGGTATCTCAGGGTTGTCTTTATTTGCATTTCCTTCACCACCAGGGATGATGAACATTTCCTCATGTGTTTCTTTGCCATTTTTATTTCTTCATTTGAGAAGTCCCTCTTTAGTTCCCTTGCCCATTTAGTAATTGGTTTGTTAGGTTTGGGAGGGATTAGTTTCTTGAGTTCCCTGTATATACAGGATGTTAACCCCTTGTCTGATATATTGCTGGTAAATATTTTTTCCCAATTAGTTGGTTGTCTTTCTAGCTTAGTTGCGATAGATTTAGCTGTGCAGAAGCTTTTTATTTTAAGGTAGTCCCATTTGTCGAGTCTCTCTCCAACTTGTTGTGACCCTGGGACTCTGTTCAGGAAGTTCCTTCCTGTGCCTATTAGTTCAAGTGTCTCTCCTACTCTGTCCTGCAGTAGTTTCAGAGATTCAGGTTTAATGTTAAGGTCTTTAATCCATTTTGAGTTGATGTTGGTGCATGGTGATAGGCTGGGGTCCACTTTTAGTTTTCTGCATGTGGCTGCCCAGTTTTCCCAGCACCAGCGGTTGAAGAGGCTGTGTTTCTTCCATTGTATGTCTTTGGCTCCTTTGTCGAATATCAGCTGGCTGTAGGCCTGTGGATTTATATCTGGATCTTCTATTCTGTTCCATTGGTCTTCGGGTCTGTTTTTGTGCCAGTACCATGCTGTCTTTGTGATTATGGCTCTGTAGTAGAGTTTGAAGTTCGGCATGGATAGCCCTCCCATATTGTCTTTATCCCCTAGAATTGTTTTGGCTATTCTAGGTCTTTTGTTGTTCCATATAAATTTTTGGACTGTTTTCTGTATTTCAGTGATGTACGTCATTGGGATTTTAATAGGAATTGCATTGAATTTGTATATTAATTTTGGAAGTATCACCATCTTTACTATATTAAGTCGGCCTATCCAGGAGCATGGGAGGTCTTTCCATTTCCTAGTGTCTTCTGCAATTTCTTTCTTTAACTTTTTATAGTTCTCATTAAATAGTTCTTTTACATCTTTGGTTAGGTTAATTCCTAAATATTTTATTTTTTGGGAGGTTATTGTGAATGGGGTTGCTCCCTTTATTTCCCTCTCTTCCTGTGCGTTATCAGTGTATAGGAAGGCAACTGATTTTTGTGGGTTTATTTTGTATCCTGCTATTTTGCCGAAGTGACTTATGATTTCTAAAAGTTTGGGGATGGAGTTTTTGGGATCGTGGAGGTATAGTATCATGTCGTCTGCAAAAAGGGATAGTTTCACTTCTTCTTTCCCTATGCGGATCCCTTTAATGTCTTTTTCTTGCCTTATTGCCCTGGCTAAGGGTTCTAGGACTATGTTGAAGAGGAGTGGAGACAGTGGACATCCTTGCCTTGTTCCTGTTTTTAGGAGGATTGGTTGTAGCTTTTCCCCATTAAGTATAATATTGGCTATTGGTCTGTCATAAATGGCTTTTATTGTTTTTAGAAATGTTCCTTCTATTCCTATTTTCTCCAGAGCTTTTAGCATGAATGAATGTTGAATTTTATCAAAGGCCTTTTCTGCATCTGTGGCGATAATCA